AAATTCAATTGAGAGCGCATTTATGTAAATAATGGCAAATAAGAGATAATAAAGTGGAAAGCCTTACCCCACGCGCACTGATGATAGACGTCGAAGGAGAAGGTGTCGGGCAGTTTAGGCGGTGCCGTCTCTGCCAGAAATGATTTACATAACCTCTCGGCCTCTCGTTTGGTAATCATTCCGCATCTCCGGGAGGACACCGGCATCGCACCGGCCCTTCGCAGCAGTTCTAACTGAACGGGAGTGCACTGAACGCACGTTATTCCCAACGCCACCCGTCTATACAAACACAACAGTTTTTGTTTGAATAAAAAGCTTTGAAATTAAGCGCACAATCTTTTATTGATACAATTACTTTAGTATTAATTGTGAATATAGACTACAATAGAAATCAATTTTACTCCATTTATAACCTACATTAGCTTTATTAATTATATGATTTCAAAAAATAAATTTTAATGGTTTATTAGTTTTAATTATTTTCTACCATTAAATTGACTTTTATTTTGAATTTAATTTGCAAATAAGTAAAAGTGATATTACAAGCAACACTAGAATAAATCTCTAATTAAATATTTTACTCATTATGTGAAGACTTAATCAAAAATAGTATATTAAGTGAAAGTAATAGTGAAAATTATATAATTAAAATCTTATTCAATTCCTTAGTTTTGGTAAACTTTTATATTTACAGAGAATTAAATATAGAATAAAATTTATTGTTTAATTATATAAAGTTGTTTTGTATGAAATGGGAAAAACTAATTACTAGTTTTTAATTAGTGTTTCTAATTTATATCTGATTACAGACTTTGATAGCATTTAGAGAAAGCAAGTAATGGTTGTGTGATTGAGACAAACTGTCTCTAAATCAACACTATATACAGTCTATGATAATATACTGATATACTGGTACAATGTGAGCTGTGAATGAAAAACAATTACTGCAAATGTTTTACATAAACAAGAAAGTCGTGCAAAGTATTGAATGATAAACAGTTATTGATATAAACAATGTTTACCTGTTGTGGATCTCATTATAGCTAAAGCTCTTTAATAAAGTGTTGGATATTTGCGCCAAACATAGTCTTTCTTGAGAATCCATAACTAAAGCAATAATAGGTATTCCGTAGAGCATTACGGATCGGACTTCATTATTCCTATACGAATTGCCACTTATGCCACTTGAAGTCGATGTCGTATTGTTTGCTGTTTGCTGTTGACTATTATTGGTCGGACTTAACTGTTTTCACATTAAAATGCATTTTATAGCTCTATATTAAATACGTTACACAAGTATATATTTTGCAAATGTATTATATGTTCAAAATGAACGGTCTGTTTGATCCGAAGCACATTAAACACAATTTCATTACTTATCGCATATACAGAGCAGTCTAACAGACTATTACACTATTATGTATTGTATTACATGTAAGCTTTGGCCACAAAAAGGTAACTTTTTCTGTCGTAAAGCTTTGAGTATTGAGTTTAAACATTAAACGTTGTATAGTGTGATCTATTTTAAGTGATCTCTCTCATATACATTCAATGTATGCACCATTGCCCAAACCAATACTTAGAACACCCAGGGGTAAAAATGTGCTCGATTATGGCAGTTTTGCGAGCACTTAATGATAGGTTTGAGTGCTGCACATGCATTACGAGTTGCATCACTTTCACATCTCTCTATTAGACACTCATTCATTCATACTCTCTCTCTCTCTCTCTCTCTCTCTCTCTCCTCATATGAAGCTTACAGCACATCCACATTAAGTATATTTTGGCCAACCGTAAGACCTATTTGACGCCAATGCTTATAAAATTAAACCACAAAATAGCAGTCCGTGTCTAATGATGTTTTAGTTTAATGAAAATGCGAGTGAGAAGTAACTAAAAATGTTCACTAATTATTTGTTGATTGTTTTAATGCTGTCTTGAATAACAATTAAACGTGAAATCTAGAGTTGTTTCACAAAAATAATTGATTTATATTCTAATCAATTCATATTAATATATAATATATAATATTTACAATTCTCTAACTATAACTTTATAACTTTATTCAAAACTATTTGATATAAAGTGAAAAAGTGTTAAAATATAATATATTTATAAATTTAATAATAATAAAATTATGCTAGTTTTAACAAATAAATTTATGAACCATTCAATTATTCATACAGTGTTTGCTTCGCCTTATAATTAAAGTGAAAGATAAATGTCTTTTCATTTCTAAGCAATTTATTAATATTTATGAATTGAATGGCATTACTATAAGGAATAGAGAAAAGTGTAATTATTAATAAAGCTATTTTAGAGTACTTTTTGTCAATTGTATCACAAGTAGAGACGCAATGCAAATAGCGTTACAAATGTTTATTTAATGTGATTTGTTTATTACGCTTTGCGTCTCATCATAATGAAGATGTGAGGGAATAGCAAATTGCAGGTTTGGTCAGATATGGCACTAAAGGTGGGGCTTTCATCTGTAATTGTATATAATTTTAAGCACTAAATAAATTTATCAAAACCACACACTTTTAATGCATTAAAATAATGTTTTAATCAAATAAAATACAAAATAATTTTCACGAAACACTGCAGTGAAGTTGGTTTTGGGGCGCAAATGGTTTGGCACACAATATACAGGTATACTCTAATTGTATACTTGGCTCTAATTGTATAGTAATTGTCAATTGTGTTATTTATGATAAAACTTTGAACATACTTTAAAATACTTTAACATACTTTTATTAAAGTGGTTTAAAAGTCAGACAACAACTGTTGGGAAATGTAATGAAAACTTTTAGACTTACATTATTTAATGGTTGTGAAAGCGATTCGTTATCCATTGTTATCGGATTTGTATCGTTCGGTTTCGGTATTGTTTTGCCAAATAGTTTTGTAGTGTTTTGTTGGCTAACAGTGTATCACAAAAGTAATGTTTAATGCGATTTAATTTAGAGCCGATTTGGAGCGGAGATGTATTTCATGCGCATTGTATGAGTGGTAAGTAGGACTGGGATTGGACGGCAATGCAATGCCTGTATGTGCGATGGTTGTGATGGTTGGCCATTCTTGATGCCTAACTGGTCGATGCTTAAGAGCCACGTGAGAGGCAATTGATTGATTCACAGCAATACATGCGCTCTTATTTGCAAACTATTTATTCAGTTGACAACTCAATCTTAAATCTGTGCACAAATGTATTAAAAGCTATAATCATATTCAGTCGAGTACTGTATGTAAAGTTTATACATATTTCAGTAGATTTTTATTAATAATGCGCCCAAAAATTTATGAGAATAAAGCAAATATAATACAAAGTTTTTGCATAAATATGTTTAGCTATTGTGAGCTTAAATGTGAACAAATTCTTATTTAACTCAATTTAACTGATCCTTTAGTTTTTGCAATTAATTAGTAGAGAACCGAAATTAATGGTGTGTTTCTGTTTAGATGAGTACTACTGCCACCATTGAGAACATACTGTCTATAGTAGTAGTGATAGTAGTAGATAGCATAGCAAGTATAGAGAGTGGTGACCATTTTCTGAATCATTTATATTGCAATGGGTCTTTTGGTGACCATAATATGTGTCTCAGCACTGGTAGGTGTCCTGTGAGACCCATGCACTGCGTTTGAATGTTGGCACTGAAGGCACTGAAGGCACTGTAGGCACCAGTAGTCCAGTACAACGAAAATTTAGTCTTTTGCGCTGCTAATCACGTTAAAAGCTTATACATAAGAGAATTAATGCCCAACACTACTAATCCCATGTGTCGGTCTGCAGGTCTGCCCCACGTACTGACCATTATTTGTTGTGTGTCTATGATATTAGTATAACTATTTGCACCGTTACTCTAGAACTTGACTTTTGTAACAACTTTATGGCCTTTTGTAAACAATTGTCAACATTTGGTACATTATTTTTAAGGTTTGCATAACTATTATATATCTTATATTTATATGACTGAAGTTTTCACTGATGTAGACCCTGGAGAGCATGTTAACTCTTGTAATGGACATCACATTAATTAAAGGGGCCGTCGGTTTGTGACAATACGATTTTGAGTGGAGCCGACCAATCAAAGTATGATATTTTATGTACCGAAACATTTTGGTTCGTTTGCTTTCACTGTTACCATACTTTCCAATGTATTGCCGGTTAATGTAATTTATTCTTCACTTAATTCTATTTGTTTTATTGTATAACAGATAACATAATACATGACAACATCAGCACATTTTCTTGTGCTCAACCTCTTCCAGCACATAGAGCTCTCTCTCTCTCTCTCTCTCTCTCTCTCTCTCTCTCACACACACACACACACACACACATTCACTCACTCACAACACCAATACTTACAAATAAGTGCTTTTTGGCTTCCAATTGTACTTCAATTTATTGGCTCAACCATTGCCTCAAATTTCAAAACTGTCCTAATAGTTAGAATGAGAGGACTGGTAGTAATACTTCTGGTCTAACGAGTAAATTGGGGCTCAAAATACAATCAGTGTATTGTAAGTCCATATCGTTATTATTATGAATATAATTGCCATTTATATGAAACATACTGTCATTCATTGTAGGCTAGACTGCAATACAAATATAGTGCACTCCATATGCCATCATATGGTATGATATGCCAGCACTTTCATGCCTGACCAACACTTCTCAATACACCAAACCATTCATATGCTAATAAGTGGAGATCATATTGAAGGGAAAATCATTTGTAAAGCGCAAACAAAAATGGGCGTCCGATATGGCACCGGGTCTAAGATAGATGGTCCCAATGAGAGCACTACACTATTTCATACCAGTCCACAGAGTGCGAAAAGAGTGGGAGAGAGAGAGCGAGAGAGAGAGAGAGAGAGAGTTGACGTGCAAAGACTCAATTCCATCCATTCATGCAATTTGTGTCGATTTAAACCAAATAAGAATTATTAGAGAGTTTGTAATCGCACTCTCCCTACCATTCCCTTCCCTACCCTCCATTCCCTTCAACGGCAAACACTTAACAAATATAATACCAATAAAGCACTCAATGGCTATACAGTGAATGATATAATGTATTCAATATTATCGCCGAAACTAAAATAAAATAAAAATTTTAAACTGATTGATTGAAAAATCTATTTACTATTATACTAATAATGATGTGCCTGAATATTGGCATTTATTTTGAGTATCTAATTAATATTATAAATATATTCATCAAAACTTGGAAAATAAACGCTATTCTAATGTAATTCAAACTCAACACTATTTGTCAATTATGAAATATTTTTGATGACTATTTCTTTTTAACACATTGCGACCGAATTTCGTATTCATAGCATACGATACATGAAATCATTAACAAAATAACTGAAACTCAAGTGAACTGTCGATTGTTTTAGAGCTGAGAACAGTATTCAAAAGTGTTTGAGTGGTTGGGTCTGGAGTCACGTCTCGTAAATTAGTTGTGAAGACTCACTCATCTGTTAAATGTATAGCCATTTGATGTCCACAACTCTATCAAAAATCATTCACATCCAAAAGGACTTAAATCAAATCAAACCATCGCTTCATTTATTATCAAATCACACATTTCTTTTAAAATAGAAATTCATTTTTATTCAATTTATCAAAAGATTTTTATTTATTCAAATCAGATGCTAATCAAATGTAATTAATTTGTCACTAATAATATTATTATTGAATCGACTATTTATGTAAATTTAATTTATTTGAGCCCTTCTTTATGCTAACATTTGTCTCTAAAACTAAATAACATTTTCAATGATTCTCTACTCTATTATTGATTCTAATGTTTTTTGCTGTCATTTAATTACAAATAGTATTAATGATTAAAATTTGATTTTTCATAAATGAATTTTTGGAAAATTATTTAAACTTTCTTTCGTAAAGTATTTATATTTCTTTTCAAGTTATTTATAATTAAATTAAAAAAATTAATTAATAGAATAGTTTTGTGCTCTAAATAACGACAAATTAATTATTAAAATTTAATACATATTCCTATTTTGATTCAACAAATTTCTTTATCTCTTTATAATTAATGAGATACTCATTCAAACGCTGTTAACCGAAAGTAAATGTATTTACACACAAAACAAAGTTTGTTTGAAATTCATTTGAATTATTTTATGAAGAATTAGATTTATTTTTATGAATAAATTACTCTAATATACTGCAGTGTATAGTACAGAACTGTATAATTTTCATTTATATTAAGTTTTGTTAAAACAAGAAACTAACAAATAAAGTGATTTAATGTTTGCATATTAAAGCACTAATAGATTTGTCTCTTATTCAAGAAATAATTTAAATTATCAATAGTTTTGTAATAGAATTTATATTAAACTGAGACTTACAAGTACATCTTTTGTATACCAATAAGTTGAGGATTAGTATAAACTAGTATTTGTATTCAATTACTTTTATCTACTTTTATAACAGAATATACAATAAGTTAGCATAAATTGAAATCAATATTTATAAAATAATATTCTCACAAAACTTTGGTTAAGCTTTTTTAAGTGAACAAATCTTTTTGCTTACGTTTTACTAATATTGGTTTCCTATACAGTATATACAGTATCTGAATAAAACCTAAAAATCAACGAAATGCTGATTTAATATTTTAATAAACATTTAAATTAAATAAAAGTTTTATTAAACTTATCAGTAAAAATTTTACAAATAAAAAATCAATTTTTCTTTATTATTATTCTCAGTTATACTGGATTTATTCAAATTTAATTAAATATTATTTTTAAACATTTCAGAAAATTGCTAAATCAATATGATTTGCATTTTCTTTACATTTAAATTTGTTAAATAAATATATAGTTTAGTATTCATATCTGTATAGTATTCACAGCTTTCTAATTTTGTTTATAAGCTTTTGTATAGTTTTTAACAAACAATGTAACATATTTTGAGAGTTACAGTAAACATAACTGCGGTATATTTTATGTTTGCAGAATTTACTTATATAACAAATAGCATTTTGTATGTTGTTATAAAGATCTACAGTATATAAACCTGTGTCACTCAAATCAAATTATTTTGTAACTTTTCTTTTAAATAAATTTAAAATTAAGTGATTCACTAAATCACAAACAACTTGTATTAATTATATAAATACATCAATGCAGACACTTCTGGTCTGTTTGGATCTCAGATCTCATTAAATTTTGAAAGGTGACACTCACTTTACCAATGTTAATCTGATAGACATCACCAATTCAATTTTATTACTAGCTTTCAACTTACAACTTCCAACTTGTTAGGATAGTATTTTCTTATGAAATTGTCCAACAATTTTTAATTCAAGTTTTTTGACATTAGTTATTACTAAGTTAGTAAATTACATAATTAATTCGTTATTAAATATAACTAATTAAAATGTTTTTGATTTGTTATTGGATTAAGTTTATAGTAGTTTACATTATATAGATTAAAAGAAAGAAAGAAAGAAAGAAAGAAAGAGAGAGAGAGAGAGAGAGAGAGAGAGAGATGTTTGAGATTGATGTTCGTTTTGACGAAAAAATTAATTGAAAACAAAAATCATTGAATTATTGATGAAATGTGAGTCTATAAGGGAGTGAATTGCAGTGCATTTAAATGATAGCATAGCGTAAGCACTGGCCGTCCATAAGGTTTGTGGTGAAGGCAGTGGTGAGCGCACCGGCAAAAGAGCGCTCCATTTGATGAGTTAATCTAACTTTTCTCTAACCGTAAGCAATGTTTTAACTCTATTGCCTCTCAATTATTGATGAATATATCCAACGGTAAGCAATGCATACATACTCTGTGAGCCTAATACTAATACAGCACTAATAATCTATGTTAGTCTCTATGATACCCAACTGTCCCTCTATTCATCTCTCTATTTCTATTCGTAATAAATAAA